CCTCCGTCCGTCCAGCCAGCCAGCGGGCCCGGGCTTGGCCTCTGCACAGCCGGTGCTCCCAGAGCACCCGGGCATCCAAGCTCCAGACCCCCTGCTCCCACTACCTAGCCCCACACTCCCCTCACAATGAGCCCAGGTGTCCAGGCTCTAGCCACCCCTGCACCCACCCCAAAGCCCCCTTCCCCCCACTCCTGCACTAACCAGGCCCTGGTTGCCCAGACCCCTGGATTCCAGCACGTGCCCCGCACCCCCAGCCCCCTTGCCCTGCTCCCCAGCTGCCCGGTTTCTCTCCAGCCTGTAATCACTCCCCACACACACACTTCCCCTTCCCTAACCCAGGCCCCGGCTCCCCGGATGCATGGGTTCTCTCCAGTGTGCCACTCCCAGCCCCCTTATCCTTTTCCCCAGACACCTGGCTTCTCTCCAGCCTCTGACCCCCCCAAAGCCAGGTCCTAGCTCCCTGGACACCTGAGTTCTCTCCAGCTTGTGGACCTCCCACCCTCTCCCTGCTATGATCCAGGCTCTAGCTCCCTGGACACATGGATTTCCTCCAATATGTGTCCCCACATCAGCCCCCTTCCCAAGATGCCTGGGTTCTCTCCAGTGTGTCTGTCCCCTGCCCCCAGCCCCCTCCTTTTCCCAGAATATCAGGGCTCTCTCCAGCCTGTGATTCCCCCCACCCCATCCCCCTGCCCAAACCCAGGCTCTGGCTCCTGGGATGCCTGGGTTCTCTCGAGCTTGTGGACCTCCCACCCTCTCCCTGCAGCCTATGTGCCCCAGCTTCCCCACTGCCTTTTCCATGGCACAAATGAACCCAGGACCCAGCTCCCAGACACCTGGGTTCTCTCAAGTGTGTGTCCCCCAGTCCCTGTCCCCTGCTCCCGGACACTTGGGTTCTCTCCAGTGTGTGTCCCAGTCCCTGTCCCCTGCTCTGAGACATCTGGGTTCTCTCCAGTGTGTGTCCCCTGCTCCTGGACACCTAGGGTCTCTCCAGTGTGTGTCCCCGTCCCCGTCCCCTGCTCCCAGACACCTGGGTTCTCTCCAGTGTGTGTCCCC